TGATAGAGCTTTAAGCACATTATGGTACATTAAGCTCTTTTTACATTAAGCTAAATGTTTTCGAAAAGGAATAAAATAGTTTAATGTGAATAATTTTTGGTATGTTTTATCAAATGGCCCAAAATCTTCAGAATATGTTGGCATAGATAGCATCTTGTAATGCATAAAGTTTGGCAGACATTGGTTAACATTTAGGTTGTTTTTTGTACATTAAGCTCCCCACAAAACAAGCATAATGTCACTCATTTGCCTTGTGGGTAACCAAAATCCATTAAAAACTTCCAGGTTAGGTTTGGGAAGCTGTGAAGGTAGATTGTGCAAAGTTTCAAGGCAATTGATTGAGGTTTAGGCACATTATGGTACATTAAGCTCTTTTTACATTAAGCTAAATGTTTTAGGATTGTAATAAAATAGTTTAATGTGAATAACTTTTGGTATGTTTTATCAAATGACCCCAAATCTTCAGAATATGTTGGCATAGATAGTTGTGTGGTATTGGAAGTTTGGGGGAAATTGGTTAACATCCAAGTTGTTTTTTGTACGTTAAGCCGCATTAAGCTCCCCAAAAAACAAGCTTAATGTCACTCATTTGCCCTCTGGGTAACCAAAATCCATGAAACTTCCAGGATAGGTTTGGGAAGCTGAGAACCTAGGTTGTGCAAAGTGTCAAGGCCCATTAAGCTACATTAAGCCATTTTCACATTAAATGTTTTAGGATGTCCCCAGATTACTGTGTAAAACCTATTTTAGGGAAACAGACAGGAACAGCTATATACCTGTTGTCAGCTGTCGTCATCCCATGTGGCTCCGTAATATACCGTGAGGCCAGATTATGTGGGTTAGGAGGAACTGTTATAGCGACATTGATTGATTTGTCCTTATAGGCTACAAAGAGGGGTTCTTGGATAGAGAAATTCACAAATTGGCAGTGATAAATGGGGATACCTTAACTATTAATAAGACTAACACCGTAAGTAAAGATACACCAGTTGCCCTAATATTGGATTATAATGCTCAATATAGGGACGTTGAGAGACTTATTGCCAAGCACTGGAAGATCTTACAACTGGACGAATCATTAAAGAAAATATTACCACCTAAACCAAAGTTTGTTTATAGGAAAGCTTGATCCATTAAAGACATTATAGCTAGAAGTGTGATCCGCCCAAAAAGAGGAATTTAGTGACATTTCTTGATGCTGTCGGTTTTCATGCCTGCAGACATATTCCCAATAATATGAAATGAAAGCGCTTCCAGATCAACACCAGTCATACACTAGTGGATATCAGAGAGTTCATTTCTTGCGATACGGAGGGTGTGGTTTATGACTTGGAATGTCCTTGTGGACTACAGTACATTGGTCGCACTACCAGAAAATGAGGGATTAGGATTAAGGAACACGTATATAACATCAAACGGGGTTATAAAGATTCTGTATCCAGACTTTTTATGGATTTCCATCACAAAGTTCCTAGTCTGTTGTCATTTTGGAGAATAGAGAAAGTTTCCAGACATTGGAGGGGGGTAATTGGCGATGGGAATTGGCTAAAAAGGAAAATCAGTGGGCCATTTAAAGCTAGTTCACTAAAACCTCATAGATTGAACGTTGAGTTTGATCTCAATAGTTTTATATCCAATGCTTAACATCGCTTGGACCTTTTCTTTTGTATTCTATGTGGAGTTTTTTTATATTAATACTCATAATTTTTTAATACATTGATCCTTTTTATATTTTTCATATTTTGTATGTTGAGGATTAATTTGCATATTGTATATATCCTCTGAGAGTTCGTATATTATTGTAGCTTGTGCTGTGTTCCCCTTCTTCCGTGCTCTTTTTGATCTGTGGATCTGTTTGATTAGGACGGCATGCGGTGTGTGTTTATATCGGCATGCCATGTTGTGTTGGCACGCTGTATATGATCATATGCGGTTTAGCCATGTACATATACAACAGTCTTTATTGTAATGGGGAAATCCCCTTGTGATTACAAATGATGCCTAGACGTTGGATGCTCCAGACCCCTGACGAAGTCACGCTGGACGTACCGTACGTAGGGCAGAGCATCTGACGCCATCACTTCAGTCTAACCGGACGGACGGAAGTTGCATTGTATATGCCACACTCATTTGTGTTGAGGGAATCCCCTTTGGCTATCCTTTGCCCTTTTGTGAGTGCCTGTTTTATTTAATAAATGTTATATTTTTGGGCGGTACGCACTATGTATCTTCTGCTTGTTTCTTTTTTGATCTGATGAGCTTACCTACGACTTGAAAGGATCCATTTGCTCTGCTATCATTGGCTTCCCTCCCCCTCCTAAGAAGGGAAAACACGCTTGAGACCTACCCTATTGGTCCACAGACCCAGGTGAGCACCCATTAGTTTTTGTGCACTCACTGGGTGGAGTTGAAGGTTTAAAAATATTCTGTTGCCTGCACATTGGGAAGTCTGCCTCGAAGGACTGCCCTCACCGTTTTGTTATGTTTATTGATCTTCACACATTGGACCACATTTTTAGATTTGGTTTGGACTTTATTTTATTATTCATATCATGTGTTAGAGTCTAGCCCATGACTCTTGCTCTACCTTCACTGTTAAACGCTTTATTTGTTCTTAGCTTGGCGGATTATTAAGTATTTTGCATTATATTAGTTGATACTTTTTAGTGCCTAGTAGCTCATTTGCCTGCACTTTGTGTCATTACTGCGGATCAATTTTTTTTGTTAGATGTATGTCACACTTTTCCAACTAGTAAATCCAAACACTTTGTATCTCCTTAGCAAAGAGATCTATTTAGTCTCTAATAAAATCTAACACATTAGTCAGAGGAAGACGAGCTACGTGCCCATATAAAATTGTATGTTTTGGTTGTACTTGATCACCTAGAGACTGACAAAATGGTTATATGGAGCCTGATTGCAGCAACTTAGCAGTGTGTGGACTTGTTGTGATCTGCCCAATGGTAATTGTTTGTTCTCCTCTTTTATTTTATAACCAATAGCCAAATTTTTTATATGTCACTTTCTTTTCATTTTTATACATATTTCTGATGCACTGTCCACCTAGGGATATTAAACTATAAAATTAATAAGTGGCCTTCCCTGTACTAAACTAAGAATTCACACTCCTAGAGAGAGTGGTGCATTTTTACAAGTGTCTGTATGCTTGGTTGTAAGCTCGCTGTTGATCTGTATGACCAGGCAGCTGACGGCAGGTGGCAGAAGACTACCCTAAGTCGAGTGTCTGGTGTGTGGGTGGGCAGCGGGAAAATGATACGATTATAAGCTCTCACGGGCAGGGCCCTCTCAACCATCTTGTTTTGAATTGTTTTGTAACTGTAAATGTTCCTTATATTGTAAATTGCTGCACAAATTGTTGGCGCTATATAAATCCTGTATAATAATAACATACGGTTTCTAGCTTGCAGAATAGCTTGAGGAATCACAGAAGTGTGTAGTAATCATTTGGCTGCTGCGCAGCCTTTAGAGTGCACCAGTTTGCATGTAAAATTTGCATTGGCATGTTTGTGTTGAGCCAACTAATTTTGGGTGAGTTGCCCTCCAATGGCATGCAGCGGTAATACACGCTGTGACAATTGTTTTACAAGAGTGTTTTATCAGCCCAAAGTAAGTGGTCTTCTCCCTCCTACTCCACCAAACGAGGGCCGCTCTCCAGTTAGCGAGTCGCCATGGGTGGGTCGTCCTTGACAAAGAGTATGGGCCTATATATGCTAGCATATACGTTAGCATTACCATAAACTTCATATGGCAGTTGGATGTGCTAGCATTATCTGGTTGCCAGGAGCATTTTTTTTTTACCACTTTGGATCACCCAAGCATGTATGTTGGAGCAAATTGGTTTCTTGAACATGATGAGCTCACTGTACTCAAATGGCCTCCTCAGTCACCAGATCTCAATCCAATAGAGCACCTTCGGGATGTGGTGGAATAGCAAATTTGCATCATGAATATCTAGCCGGCAAATTCACAGTAACTGCGTGATGCTATCATTTTCAATATGGACCAAACTCTCTAAGAAATGTTTACAACACCTTGTCCAATCTATGCCATGAAGAATTAAGGCAGTTCTGAAGACAAAAGCGGGTCCAACCCGGTACTATGAGGTGTACCTAATAAAGTGGCCAGTGAGTGTATAACATTATGGGAAAGGCCCACTGGCTATCAGTAAAGGGGAGCAAAAATATTTAATGAACATTTCAAATCTATGGCTGGATTTTCAAATGAGTTCTTTAGGCACTTATGGGTTGTTCCTTTTTTATCACTGTTCTTTAGTATTTTTGTCCATCCTGCTAACTCGGGTGATGGCGTCTCGGTATACCGCAAGCAGCAGCTCGCGGTATACTACGGTGTCTCAGTATACCGCGAGCTGCAGCTCGCGGTATACTGAGTCTAGGGTGACGGGAGGACGCTAGTTTGTGTCCTCCCGTTACCCTAAGGAGAACTATGGGGAAAAGCCTTAACCCCATAGTTCTCTAAGTGCACCACATGTATTCTTTGTGACATGTGATTTTCGGGGTTACATCTAGAATTAATGGCAGCACACACATATACCTTGCATTGACAACAAAAACATTTGTAATATTTTTTTCTTGGAGGGAGTTCAGCCTTGGGCATCCAGAGGAGAACAATGAGGCGACATGCCACAGCCATTCTCGCTTTCTTCTCTCCCTATGTTCTTTCCTCTGTCCCTCTCCCTCCTTACTGAGAAAATAAAAAAAGATATAAAACCATCAGAAAACGTATTAGCTTAAAAAGAAATGTACCCAAAACTATTTTTCTATGTGTTGTTTATTATAATACACTGTAGAAGTAGATTACACATCAGATAATTATGTTATAAGCAGCATAACAGGTGTGGAGACACATGGCACCTTTCAGGAAATTTCTGCTTACTTCCCGCTCCGCCCTCTGCTTGTATCGTGATAACAGATTATTAAATGCAGCTCACATCACTCATTATATAGGGTGTGCTGTCTTCTTTGATATTAATTATTTTTACTATTCATAAAGGTATTTGACACCTCGGACCTTCCCGGAGGCGTTGTGAATATTCTTACTGGTGGTCGTGACCATTTAGCCAAATACCTAGTGGAGCATCAAGATGTACAAGCCATGTGGTACTATGGATCTGAACAGGTATCATAATGAGAAATGTGTTAATACGTTTATGTAGTTGGTCTTAAAGCGGAACTCAATGATTTACTCATACCCTTCCCCCTGAAGTCCTCCTAGTATTTATTTTTTAGGCCCTATACATGCCTTTTCCTACTGAGCACAGCTTCTTATGATTCTTCCAGTGGTGGCAGGTGATGAGCATTCTTTCAGGACTGAGTGGCGCTCACATAATGACATGTGAGTGCTGCTCAGTACTGTACAGTACTGTGAGCCCAGCGTCTTTTTCGGCCCCTCCGACAAGGGCGGGAAGTTCACCAAATCCTCCTTCACAGTCTGCCAAGCGTCCCTGGCAGCCTAAGTCTGCCAAGCCGCCGGCAAGCCCCCGTCCGTATGAAGGTCACGCCCGGCTCTGGACTCCAGGGTGCGGGGGGCACCTCCGGCTCTTTGCAGATTTTTGCTTGGCTCACGTCTCCAACACTTGGGTCTGAGAGTTGGTTTCTTCGGCCTACAAGATCGAATTTCTGTCCGTCCGGGGAACAGGTTCTTCCCGTTCAACACGCGACTTTCTCCTCCGCGGTTGGCGGATCTTCGCCGCGCTGTGGCGGACCTTTTGTCCCAGGGGGTGATCGTGCCGGTTCCGACATCGGAAAGGTTCAAAGGGTTTTTTTTTTCCAACCTTTTTACAGTGCCCAAGAAAGAGGGGGTTGGGTCTGGCTTCGTCAGGGGGATCTGCTGGCCTCCATCGACATCAAGGATGGCTACCTTCATGTGCCCGTTTGCGGGTCTCATCAGCGATATCTTCGTTTCACGTGGGGGAGGAGCATTTTCAGTTTGTGGCGCTGCCTTTCGGCCTGGCGCCGGCCCCGCAGGTGTTCACCAAGGCGCTTGCCCCGATTCTGTCGCTGTTTCGTTGTCTGGAGGTTTCGATCGTGGGCTACCTGGACGATCTTCTGCGGGTGGACTCGCACTCTTCTATGGTGATGGCTCTGGAGGTCACGGTGCGGTCCTTGGAGGAGTTCGGTTGGCTCCTGAACCTCCGGAAGTCTTGCCTGGTGCCTTCCCCGCACTGGAAATATCTGGGCTTGGTTCTGGACAATGTTGCGGCCCGGGTTTTTTTTCCTCAGGACAAACTCCTGAAACTCCGTTCCAAGGTCCGTCTGTTGCGGACTCGCCGGTGGTCGCCCATTTGCTTTTGCATGCAGGTCCTGGGTCTCATGGTGGCCTCCTTCGAGGCGGTGTCCTTTGCACAACACCACACCAGGACTCGGCAGAGGAACATCCTGGTACAGTGGGACAAGTCCCCCCAATCCTTGGACAGGGAAATTCGGGTGTCTCGGGAAGCGAAAGCCTCCCTGTGGTGGTGGCTTCAATCTCCGGCCTTGGTGCGGGGGAAGCCTTTCCTTCCTGCACTGGATGGTAGTCACTACGGACACCAGCCTTTGGGGCTGGGAAGGAGTCCTGGGCTCCTTGACCATGAAGGGTCGTTAGTCGCCGGAGGAGTCCCTACTGTCGATAAATGTGTTGGAACTTCAGGCGATTTCGCCTTTCTCTCCTTCATTGGTCGACCCATCTTCAGGATCTGCAAGTTCGGGTCCAGTCGGTTAACGCCTCCGCAGTGGCGTACATCAACCACCAGGGCGCCACGAAAAGCGTGACCGCAGGTCGAGAGGTGTTTGGGATTCTCTCCTGAGCGGAGAATCGGGTTCTGGCTCTTTCGGCGGTCTACATTCCGGGGGTGGACAATTGGCAGGCCGACTACCTCAGTCGGTGGACCCAGGAGAGTGGTCCCTGCACCCGGAGGTTTTTCAGCAGCTCTGTCTTCGCTGGGGGACGCCGGATGTGGACCTTCTGGTGTCTCGGTTCAACCAGAAGGTGGACAGGTTCGTGGCCCGGGCTCTGGATCCCTGGGCGGAGGCGGTGGATGCCCTGGTGGCTCCTTGGGGCCCTTACGGTCTGATTTATGCCTTCCCTCCACTGTATCTGTTACTTCGGCTTCTGCAACAGATCGCGGCCGAGGACGTCACCGTCGTCCTCATGGCCCCAGATTGGCCTCGGAGAGCGTGGTACGCGGACGTGGTTCAGCTGGTGGTGGACGCCCCTTGGCGGCTGCTTCTGCATCCAGATCTTCTGTACCAGGGACCTGTGTTCCATCCTTCTTTACAGTCGCTGGCTTTGACGGTGTGGCTGTTGAGAGCCCGGGGAAGGAACGGGGGTTGTCCGATGCGGTCATTTCCACTATGCTCAGGGCGCGCAAATCGGTTTCTAGAAAGATTTACCATCGCACATGCAGGGCCTATTTTGCCTGGTGTGAGGCTGGGGCCCTGTTCCGGCGTTTTGTTTTTCCATCAGCAGAATTCTTGCAGCGCGGGGTGGCTCAAGGGCTGGCCTTGAGCACAGTGAAGGGCCAAATATCTGCATTGGCTGTGCTTTTCCAACGGCCTTGGCGTCTAAGGCTCTGGTTCGCACCTTTGTTCAGGGGGTGACACGTATTGCTCCCGTGGCAAAGTGGGATCTGAATCTGGTGCTTCTCCGGGAGATTCCGCTTCTGTCCTTGTCACAAAAAGTGGCCCTTTTGGTTGCCGTCACTTCCGTTCGATGGGTGTCGGAGTTGGCTACCTTGTCCTGCAAGTCACCGCTGCTGGTTCTGGATAGGGACAAGGCGGTTCTCCGTCCTCGGCCAGCCTTCCTGCCTAAGGTTGTGTCGGCATTCCATCTGAATGAGGACATTGTCTTACCTTCCCTGTGCCCCAAGTCGGTTCATAGGAAGGAAAGAGTGCTCCACTGTTTGGATGTGGTTCGCGCTTTCCGTGTTTAGTTAGAAGCTAAAGTATATGTAAGTATAAGGCACATGTAAGTATAACTAACAACGGACGACCGAAATCAAGGCAGAATAATAACAATAAAAATAGTGGGATCACAGGGGGCCCTCGTAATGGCCGGGCAGCGTCGGCTACCATCTCTCTGTGGATTCGTAATGTTGTTGTTCAGGCGTGGGCCGTTAAGGGGCGCGAGCCTCCTTTTGTCACTGCCCATTCTACTAGGGCTGTTGGGGCATCCTGGGCCTTCCGCCATGGTGCCTCTGTTTCTCAGGTTTGTAAGGCTGCTACTTGGTCTTCGGTTCACACCTCTTGTCAAGTTTTACAAGGTGGATGTTTTGTGCACTCCTAACTGCTTGTTACTTACTGGAGACTTGTCAGCAGGTTGGTGATATGGCCACCAGCAGGGGCCGCCCCTACTCCTGCAGGTGGCGATATACCCTACCATACAGGATCTACGATCTGTTGCCCTGTGTCCTTCAATGAACGGAGAGAAAAGGATTTTACGGTGAGTACAAAAATCCTATTTTTTTTAATGATGGATTCATTTTGAAAATGCAATTCCAAGTTAATCTTTTAAAGAAGGTTATCAAATTTACGTCTATAAAAAAAGTGTTTCTAATAGTTAAAATCTCTGACTCTGTAAATGTAGCCTAATAATTTTTGTCTCAGTTCCTGAAGCTTGACAAGTTGCTAATTGCTGACCTCCTAAACCAGATATCCAAACTACTTTGTTGTCTGTGCTGCCCTGCTTTAAGAGTTTACCTGTGCATCTCTTCTTGGATGTGTGTTATGCAAATCATCAATTTAAAAGCCTAACTATAGCATGTATGATTATTAGATATACACATCCTTGGTGGTGAATATAGTTGTGAGAGATGGAAACAATTTTCATATTTCACCTTGCTTGTTAAGCAATTGGGACTACACCCAACATAGAGCTTACTGTTGGCAATCCCAGCAGATAACAAGTAGAACTTGCATAGTCCCTGCATAATTGTTGACATTACTAATAGGGCAAAAGTTAAATGTAATCTGTCTTCAAAGTCGTACACTTGAGATATGCAACAATTTCAGTGTTTCTACAGTATTATATTGCTTATGTTATTTAAAACAAATAACATTTAACTTTGATTTAACTGCAGTATATTTGTTTTGCATACCACATAAATGTATATTACTGCCTTCCTAGCAGTGCCTAAGGGTTTTTGAAATAAACAAAATAAAAAAGCAAGTTTGTTGTGTTCGGAATGCAGTATTTGCTGAGCTTCAAAACTAGTATACTGTATTTAAACTTGAACTATAGGTAAAACCAAAATAGCCATATATGTCAATTTGCAGTCTGTCACTAGCATTCAAAAAATGAAGCCTGTTATTTTTCAACTTTCAGTAACCACTTGAAGACTGGGGTGTTAAACCCTCTTCCCGTCCAGGCCATTTTGCAGTATTCAGCGCTGAGACATTTTTTCAGTCGTGCAATGCTGTACTGAAATTGATTTAATATTTTTGGGGGGAGGGGTCAGATGGGGCTTTCTTTTGGGGGTATTTAATCACTACTGGGTTTTTTTTTATTTTTTTACGATATAAAGAAAAAAGTACAGAAAATTTTGAAATCCCTTTTCACTACGCTATGCTATGAAACATTTATTATTACCCATCAGGTAAATAGACACCAAACATGTCAAGCCTTAAAATTGTGTGTGACCACAAAATCACAAAAAAACTACCATACCCAAAGTTAACCTTAGGTGAGGCTTTAAAAGCTTTTACATATACAGTGACGGGTTCTTTTTATGGAGGATCACTAATATGACCTATGGACCCCAAAGAAGCTGATGAAGCAGAGATGACACGCTGAAACCTGAAGTGATGTCATTCACATCACTTCCGCATTTAGTGATGGCAAGAGAGATCAGCCGGTGGAAGTGTGCTGATCTGCCTCTGATCCAGCCACAGAGACTTGCCGTCAGGCGTGCATGAGGGACAGCAGAGCCCAGGATAGCTGGCAGCGAAGGGGAAGGGGGTGCACTCTTCCCGCACGATAGAGCTGCCTGAACACAGACTGTATGAAACTTTCCCAATTGCACAAGGGGCAGGGGGGATGGGCGAGTGGGAAAGTTTGATACAGTCTGCAGGAAGTGTGCACCCCCCTCCCCTCCACTGCCAGCTGTCCTGGGCTCTGCTGTTTACAAACGCCCACCCACCGTTGGGAGTCATCCCTTGTATCCATTGTAATGAAACAGCCGGACGGTAAGCGGTTAACAGATCAAGCTGGCCTGTAAAAGTGGTAGAGGGATTCACTTAAAACCTTCTTTTTTTTTAAAGTGTTAGCTGGAGGATTTAATTTGTGCATGACTGCCTATCCTGTGCTGGCTGTACAAAATCCTATTGCACATGCTCAATGCACATAGAGGACAATTACCTTTTTTGCAGACATGCTGATGTCTCTCACAGATGGGCACAGTTAGGAGGAATTTTTTTTTAAAAACAGTCTGTAAATTTGTTGACATTTGGCAGCCACCTCTTTGTTTTTCCTTTCAGCACGTGGCAAGGTAAGAAATGAGACCCCAAATTGTTCTGCAGATTATCAAGCTCCAGTTCTAGCAATGAAGAAGAGGAGGAGATTCTCTATTTCCTTTTTTTTTCTCTCTTTCTCTTCCTTTTTTAAATCATTACAAATGTTATATTAATCTAGTTATCCTTATGAATTACATTCTGTCTCATTTGAGTTCAGCATATCTGAAGTACAGTAGATAAGGATTTGCACTAAATGCAGTGCCTATATTGTTGATCCAAAAAAAGATGAATTAATCTCTTTCCCTATTCTGCCAAAATGAAGAGATGTATCACTTGCAAAGATGAGATTCCTTTGGTGTTGATCTGAGTCATTTTTTTTTTTATTTTGCATTATTTAATAGGGTTCCAAATTTGTGGAGTGGTCTTCTGCTGACAACTGTAAACGGACCTGGGTCAACTATGGCCTTACCAGAGAGTGGGAGGATACCCAACAAGGAGCTGGAGAAGAGTTCCTGTATCATGCCACACAGTGCAAAAATATCTGGATTCCTATGGGGGAAATTTTCGCCAACTGACACCAATTAATGTACTTTTGCCCCCATACATTCTTATGCAATTAAGTTTCTCTACAACTGGTGTGCATTCCATATAACATTTGATTGATACCTCACAAGTTCCAAGACATCTGTAATAGTATAATATAGAATGAAGTATAAGCTTTTAATAAACTTGTAGATTTACAAAATGAGCTGTGGTCATTGTTAATTATATTAGAATAAGTCTTGCCATATGTTAACAGCATGTGTTAACATCAATTACAGTACAGGCAATGTAAACGTGATTATGTTTATTTTCTTTTTCATATTTCTTCTGTATAATGCCTGCTATTTATAGCGTCACCGGTGATCTTGTCCGGGTATTGTTTACAGACAATATTAAAGCCTAACAAAAATTGTAATCGGGGCAATTTCATCAATCAGAGGTTGCTTCAGATTTTTCTGAGAGGCTTACTTACCCCTTCTATCCATAAGCCAATCCCAGTCATCCTTTGCCACATCTCAATGGCTACCATATCAACAAATAACATATTTTATAAACTCTGTTGCTCACAAAATTAATTTACTGATTTATTTAAAGATCTTCGCTCAACACATATTTTTTTTGCAACTATACAACATTTTACTAACCTTTTCATATCCATCCCTTCCTAATTATACAGAAAATGTTCAAAGGAACTGAGTAACTACCAGAATCGGAAAAAGCATGTATCCTCCCCTGTAGCCTGTCTTGGCTTGCAGAAGCATAAGAAAAGAACTTTAAAATTCTAACCTGTTGGTATAGGTATCCCAGCACCCTAGACATCTATTTCCCACACTTTCAGACAGGTGTTGGTCATGTGTCACTCAAGAAGGGAATATGAACCATAGACATGTAGCCTGCAAAAAAATTATTTTGTTTCCTTTTGGAGAAATTCTGATTTTTATTTCTTTTGTTTTTCTGACTCAGGATCCAAAATTCGATTCGGTTTGTTATTCGGATCCATCCAAATTTTAATTTCGGATCTATTCGGATGGGGTTCTTTTTTTTTTGCTGATTAATTTTTTATTGTAATAAAGGAGTAAAAAAATACAATAAAAAAAACAGTAAAACAGGAAGAAAAACGGCTTCACGCTTCCGGCATTCATGTGACCAGCAGCGGGGCTCCGGCGCTCCTTCCCCAATCGTATTGATTAATATAAATTCGGCTCCAGGCGTCTACTCACCCCCCCTCTGCACATCACCGGGGGATAGGGTGAACGAATATGGATTGTTTTCTGGCCTCAGCGCAGCCCCTTTCGCGATCTTCCATGATCGCAGGGGTCCTTTCAGGAGCCTTGTGTGGCCAAGATGGGGGACGGCCGTTTGTCTCCCCGTGGCCGCAGCCTGTCGCCAGCTTCCTCTCAGGATGGGAATGGAGGACCCAGCTCATGCTCAAATAGCTGCTGCTGTGGCCAGGCTGCTCAAATACACCATCACTGCTGCGGTGGAGACTGCTATACAGCATGGTCTCACACAGCTCCGCAAAGATCTCTCCACACAGGCTAGATCTCTTAAAGAGGTGGAACGCCGCATTTCTTCTTTTGGAGGATAATCTTCTGGAGGCACAGTCTCAGCTCTCCACGTATGTGACTCTATCACAATCTATGCAGTAAAAAAAAATCGGAGACCTGAAAAATCGTTCTAGACGCAACAACTTGAGGATTGTGGGTCTTCCAGAGTCGTACAAGCCTGGCACATTGGATACGTTTTGCTCACTCTATTCCGGAGGCCCTGGGAATCTCATCTCCTTGCACTGTGGAAAGGGCTCACCACCGAGGACCCCCTAGGGAGGAAAAGGCCTTGCCCAGACCTGTCATAGTGCGCTACCTTAATTTACTTGTACAGGCTAAATACTGTGCTGACGGATCGTTGACAGTGGACGGCCATAATCTTCTAATCTTTGCAGATTACTCAGCGGAGGTGGCGAAGAAGAGGAAAGCTTTCAATAACATCTGTTTATTCCAAAAGCGCATCAGATTCACCTTGGCGTATCCTGCTACACTTCACTTTACCACTCCTGTAGGACGCCGCTGTTCGTTTCAGAATCCTAGAGCGGCGGCTTTTTTCTTATGTCAGCTCATCTCCCCTTCCCCTCCTCCACTGCCACCGAGATCTCAAAAATCAATGAAATGGTCCAAGAAAGCTGAGGGGACCCCACAGAACAACGAACGCATTGAGGATGGTATTCTTGCTTGTTGATATCGTGTAATTTCACTGCCTTTCTTGCTATGTTTTTTTCTTTTTTAAGGTTCAGGTGCTGAAAATGTTTGTTTTCCATTCTTTATGCCCTGTAATAGTGGCCCCCTGGCGATTGCATGCATGAGGTACTTCTGCTGGGGCGTCTGTAGAGGGTACTGTCCCTCTGATCTTTCTATTGATCTGTGGCTGGCGGTGTGGTGCCTGCCCCCATGATGCACACATTGGGAATTTGCAAAGTCAGTACTGCGAATTGATAGGTTTCTGGTTCACAAACTCTTTAATGTTCTGGTTTTATGCTGTTTGGTTACACCATATGTAGTATTACTTTTTCACAAAAATACTGACCTCTGCCTACCTGTGCTTCTCTGATGGGAGGGGTAAGCTTTCCTGGCAACTTCACATCTTGCATGTCTTATGAGTCTTCTGGGGGTGACGAGAGGTCTCCAGGTAAGCACATATATGTGGTCCATGAAAATACTTGTACTCTAATTTAATCTATAGCAGGAATTACATGAAAGTTATATCATGGATTGTTAAGGGTCTTAGATTGCCACCAAAGCGTCATCAGGTGCTCCGTCATCTGAAACGCCTTCGTGCCGATATAGCCTTATTGCAAGAAAGGCATTTAAGGGAGGAGGATTTCTTCCGCATCCGGAAGTCCTGGGTTGGAGAGGTGGTAGGTTCCCCCTCACAGGGACCGGGGGCAGGGTTGGTGATTCTGATCACAAAAACCTCCCTTACTCCATACTGAAGGTAGAGAGGGATACCGAGGGTCATCTACTCACTGTGAAATATGGTAATAATACCTTAATTATTACTAATGTTTATTTTCCTAATTCCCCTTCCAAATCAAATTTTCAATCCTTGACACAATGGCTATCAAAATTTGACTCGCCTTTGCATTTAATTGGTGGTGATTTTAACTCCACTATGATGTTGGTAGAGGATAGGAAATGGATTTCGGAGGTGGTCCCTAGGAGTAAGTGCATCCACTACTGCTAGACAATCGCTATTGGCAACTATGGTGTCAGCCTTATGCCTTCAGGATGGCTGGAGGCTGTCTCATCCCCTCGACTTTGACCTTACTCATCTATCTTTAGTGCATAATTGTCTAGCAAGACTGGATTACTTCTTCTGTTCCAATGCCCTATTACAACGGGTGACACAACCGGAGATTCATGATCTAGTGATTTCAGATCACGCCCCCATTTCGGTTTCTTTACAAGCTAGACCCCATATTTCAAATGTTATGTGGTGCTTTCCGGCCTTCTTGGAATCTAACGAAGACTTTAGTCACTATCTGGGCACAGCCTGGCAAGAATACCTTTCGAATAATCAACCGCATATCTCCACTCCTACTCTGTTCTGGGAGGCGGGCAAGGCATATATGAGAGGCAGGATGATGTCATATGTCTCTGCATACAGAAAACAAACCATGCAGGCACACAAGGATGCGAGTAGCTCCATGAGATGTGTCCATGCAAATCTACTCTCGGATCCTTCCATGCAGGGCAGGAGAGGCTAAACAAAATGTTGACACGTGGGCACATAGACAAGACCTTCTATCGTCTTACCACTCAGACCTTCAATTCCACAAGTATGGGAATAAAGCGGGTAAACTTTAAGCACGCTTGGCTAAGGGGAGGTATCAACTTACTTGTATCTCTACTCTTAAGACTTCCTCGGGCAACCTTATTGACCCTTTAACTATTAATAAGTCGTTTGAACGGTTTTATAGGTCTCTCTACCAGACGGACGACTATGACGTTGAGGCAGCCACTAACTTCCTGGGATCTACAGATCTACCGCAGTTATCTGCATTTTGGTTAGCTTCTTTGAATGCGGATATCACTAGGGGGGAAATCTTAGAAGTCATTAATGCTCTATCGAGTAAAGCACCCGGTCCTGATGGCTATACGGCAGTTTTTTTCAAGCTCATACAGGAGGATGCCCTTGATCCCTTATATCTCATGTATGATTCCATTTTGGAGGGGAGTCAGTACCCGGCTACTGGTAAGTAGGCATATATTAAACTTTTACCAAAGGAAGGAAAGGATCCCACTAATCCTGGATCATGCAGACCTATCGCGTTGCTTAATCTTGATGTTCAGATTCTTTCCTAGATTATGGCGAATTGAATGGCAGGTATACTACCATCCCTTATACAAGTGGACTTTGTCAAGGGAAGAGCCGGGGTTACCAACCTGTGGAAAGTTCTGCTGGGCTTGAGATGGCCTGCTCCTATCCCAACTAGGATCTAGCTATAATCACCCTGGATGCAGAAAAAGCATTTGACATTGTTAACTTGCAATGGCTGTTCCAGGTTTTGGGTTCCAGGGCCAGATCCTTTCCTTACTCCATCAAATGCATGCCTCTCCAGTGGCAAGGATTGTGACGCAGGGGGCCATGTCTTCTCAATTCCTCTTAGAGAAGGCCACCAGACAGGGATGCCCTCTGTCTCCCCTGTTGTTTAATCTGGCATTGGAACCCTTAGCGCAGCACATAATACATTCTCCACGGTTACATGGTATACATGATGGGTAGGGAGGAGTTGTGGGTCGCCTTTCGGTATTTCACTTCCTTTTCTGGTCGCCGTATAAACTTCACCAAGAGTGAAATCCTCCCACTGTCCAATGTGCGTACATACGCCTGGGATAGTGGGATGATGTTCAGATTGGCACAGCGAGACATCACATATTTGGGTTTAAAGGTTGGCAAATCCCCTGGTTCTCTATCATTCGAATTACCCCCCACCCCCTTTAATAAACAAAATAATCAGGGAACTGGAAATGTTGGAGAACCTCCCCCTTTCACTCTTCGGGAAGATCCATTTG